TGTTTTTCTGGTGTGCACTCACTCGAGATCAGGAAAATTTGTATGAAAGGTGTGTTCGTCAGTTAAGCTAATCAAATTTTCAAATGCTTAAATCTCGAATACCGATTATCGATTTTTTTTAAATCCACATCAAAATCTATACGAGAGGCGCAACTTGATGCATCAAGGCCGTATCATGTTGATTCGTATCGACGTCGTTGATGAATCAGGAAGCGTCCTGACATTGTACCAATCTATTGGATAATGAATTTATTAGCTTATTAGTTTCTATATGTATATCAAAAATATTTAAAAAAAAATAGATATCATACCTCACAGCTGTATGGCCAATATGATGAATGTTTAGACAGAATGTCATTGGATGATGTGATGAAAAAAACCGTAACTTCCATTGTTATTATTAAAGCTACCGTGGAGTGAGAAACAAAACAAATACCACAAAACACAGACCTACGTGACTGTACAGGGCACAAAGTTTATTCGAATTTCGGTGATGATGATGATGATGACGATGATGATGGCTCTCTCTAGATTGATAACAATAATTTAAACTATTGAGTGTGATGATGATGATGATGATTGTGATGATGATGATGATAATGATGATGATGATTATGATGATGATTATGATTGTGATGATGGGGATTATGGTGATGATGTCAATCGATGATAATGATGATGATGATTGTGATGATGATGATGATAATGATGATGATGATGATTGTGATGATGGGGATTATGGTGATGATGTCAATCGATGATAATGATGATGATGATGATTTCACGAGAATATGCTATTGTTCATCTTAAAGCTGCAATTTTACTATCATGTAATAAATCAGTGGTAAACATGTTCACCAAAGAAAACAAAAGCATTTGCTCCATTCATTAAGCTTTAAGGAAAATTTGAGACCTGCCGAGTTAAATAACGTTGGCCATTATCAAACGATACACAATAGGGTAGGTGTAAGCTCTCTGTATCGTTTGGGCCATTCGACAATCCCCGACAGTTTCCGTAAAGTTGAATATGCGTAACTTTCACGGTTGTTTGCTTTAAGGCTTCCTTCCTCAGATTCAGCCATGATTTATCCTTTACATCCTCGCACTTGACAGTAGGCCTATACGAAAAAGTGATTTGAACTCTAGCGAACTCTCGATAAGAAGTAAATATGTTAAGTGTCACAATTTATCATATATATATGCTATTTTCGTCGTTGCACATGGCCGCTAAAGGCAGTCAAGTGAGACACTTCAAGGCCGGTTTACAGTCGACTTCTAAAATTAAGGACCGTTACGAATGTGAATGAACATTGATTTCTTAAAGAATTACATTACATCGGATGAGACAATAAACCGAGGCCCCATGTGCTATAGGCTGTGCAAGTTAATGATTCCTCGACAGTTGGAAATCGAACACAGGCAAACGCCCACATTCTTGGAAAATTTCCCTTATTGAGTAGGACGTAAAACTCCATTCATTTAATTTTGTTTTTTCGTTGTCTTTTCATGACAGCTTTAACAATTGTTTTTATCTACTATTGTCAAAACATTTATTGACCCTTATGCACCAAATAAAACCAAGCAGAATAATTTCAGTGCCACATGGCGTACATACGAATTATAATTAATGTGATAAATTCTAAGCAACCGTAAGAAACATGAGCACTAACCGGAATGGAGTCTAAAGTGCGTATTTATTGTCCGAGTTATTCCTATTTACAATGAATCTTTTATTTGCATACCAAAATATTGTTTGCGCTTGTATGCTCAAGTTTGCGCTGGTTTGCGCTTGTTTGCTCTTTTTTGCGCTCTTAAGTCGGATCACGATTTTATTTGGATTTTCTTAATTGTACTTCTTAAACAATACAAGTTGAAAAGACGTCTGATTGACAATTTCAATTGTGTTACTTGATGCTATCATAAGTTTATAAATCGTCTGTACAATCCTTTTAATGTCATCAAGGTTGGCGAAACAGATAAAACTTTTGAACTTGAAGTTTAAGCTATCTTTTCCTTTTTCCTGGTGTAGGCCCTACCTAACTGGTTCAACTAACTCAAGCACCCTGGAACCACGCCCACTGCCACACTAAAATTTCTAATTGAAACATTTTTTAAACTTCATACTACTTGCAGGGACATATTGCCCAATTGGGTGCAGAAGAATAAACGTAAAACTCCATTCATTTCATTACATCTTTTTAAATGTTCTTCATAACGGTCTGTTTACGCATAGCGCCATAGGCTATAACCCTTGTGATTTGCAGGGATATATTGTGCAGTGCGAATGTACGGACGTTCTTACATCAAAATTTACTCACCACGTATATTAAAATCTTTGTTTAATTAAAGTTGGCTAAAACAGGGGCTGAAATTAAAGTATATGTATATCATAACATACTTGTATCAGTACTGCTACGACTACAGGGTCTGATTCTGGTAAATAAGTTATACGCGTAATTCTGTTTTCGATAACACAACAGTTGTAGTTTAATTCCATTCCGTCTGAAATACTCATCTCTGTCAACCATGCAATATAGATCAGATGTCAGTAATATTAAAAAATTCATCACAAACTAAGGTCATTAAAGGGATTGTCGAGAGTTCTAAAAGATTTATGTGTATCGAAGGCCACTGATTACGGAGCCCCTAAGGCGCAATTGTAAACATATTTATCTATTATTTCGTTTAAACGAAATAATAAATAAATATGTTTACAATTGCGCCTTAGGGGCTCCGTAGCTCCGTACTATTATGCCCGAATAATATTATCTTTTAATTTTTATATGATATTTTGTATGATTGTACCGCTTAGAATAATTATTGTAAATGTATTTACTCATTTTATGCTAAACATAAAGGGCCGTATGCAGCGCTCTTACCTTGACTAAAGTTGAAAACTTGACAAAGTTAACATTAAGGCTTTCATTTTCTACATTTGATAGTCAAATTTAAGCACGAATTTCGTAAAGATCGACCGGTGCATACCTAAAGTTCCACTTAAGTCTAACTTTAGTCAAAGCGCTGCATATGGCCCAAAGTTTCTCTAGAGTCTACACCAACTTTAAATTAAATTTTACTTGTGAAGCAGTAGAAATTCCCTTTGAAATTCCTTTCTTTCAAAATTGACTTTTTCTTAAACGATGAACTTTAGTTGATATAATACTATTAACAGATATGCCAGAGATCGCCTGGACAAGGACATGGTTTGGGAAAGAGAGATTTAAATCAATGTTCAGATTGAATAACTTTATTATTTAACAAACTAGAAACATCAACTGAAAGAGAAAAAAAAGGAGAATCAATATGCAAATAAAAGATGACAATATCAATATGCAAATAAAAATACCAATATGCAAATAAAAATTACAATATCGATATGCAAATAAAAAATTACTATATCAATATGTAAATAAAAAATTACAATATCAATATGCAAAAAAGAGCACGGGTTGTAACACAATGAAATAAAGCGTAACTATTCGACTTCATATTTTGCTTAGATAACTTCGAAAAATGATGGTATTCTGTCGACCTAGCTGTAAGTGGATACTCCGGGAAAGATCAATACAAAGAGGTTTAGCCATTTTTTTTACCAATCGTCTCAGAAACGGGAAATATTTTGTAGCTAAGCCAACCTTTAATAGTGCTTACAGCTCACCGACGACATTTGAGCTTTCAAATCCATGTGTGTCCAGAATTATCCGCGTTTGAAAGTTAAAAGACGAGTCGTCTTTTCTTGAGACACTGCCATATATTAATATAGAAAATACATCTGTAGAAATAGGAAAAGAAATTCCCAGATTGAGATATTTTTCAAGGAATACTGCGATTTTCGTATATTTACATATATTCAAGATCCAAATAAAACCCTAAAATTATGATTTCCATGGTTATTAGAGTTCATGTAGGGACCAGTATTATTCATATATATATAGGTCTATATGTATTTCAGATTCGGAAGATAATGGATTTGCATTTCAAATATTCTATATTATTATTCAAACTAACTTCACAGACATTGCTCTATCACTAGAGGTATACGCCTACATTCCTGTGCCTGTGCTTTCGTAACCGCAATGTTACAACCTAAAATTCCTAAAATTGCACACTGTCCCTTTAAAATGCTAAAAATTCATCTCAGGCCATCTGATTTCCGTTGGCTTTTTTTCTGGCTCCACATTCGGCGTGTGAGTCCTTCGTTCATTCATGTAAAACTTGGAAACATAAAAACAGATTATGTCATCACTATCTTTCATAACTGCGTCAAGAAATATAAAATCTGTATATTGGATACACCTTTGAATCTCTTTAAGTCTTGCTGTATGTACAAGATTAGGCCTACTAGCCGTTCAGTCGTGCCAATACGACACAAATCCTATGTCGTACATAACCAATACAATTTAATAGGCTTTAGATTTGTGATATGCTGGCAAAAACCTTAATATAATAGGCTTACACATCGTTACATAATTTTTATGGTACAATACCATTTTCAAATGCCTAATTCAATTCTTGGGAATTAATCCAAAATCAAATCCCAAAAGATATAAAGGTACGTCTTGATCTTGCCTTGAATTTATTTTTTTGTGATTTCCTTTGAAATTATCAATTAATCAACCATATTAGGACAGCTTGTTAGTAAAGTTGATTTAGATATTTATATGATGTTATAGAAAAGGTTCCTGTCATTATGTGATCAAATTGGTAAAACAAATTTGATGTTGGTCCAAAATCAGTCAATTTCATATTTTTGAAATAAAAGGAGACATTTTAAAGGATCGTTCTAAAATAGAAATCATTCCTCCAACCCCACAAATCAAGTATACTATAGGACCTGTTCCTCGAGGGGTATGCACCTTTAATTCTTAAGACGAATCGCTTATCCAGTCATATCGTTGGAAAAATATAGACTGGATGAACAAGGCTTTATTTACATTTATAAAGGTGAAGGACGTTGAGATGGTTACCATTGTAGCGTCAAAATGGCGACAGAAGCGAAGATGAAAAATTGGCTCAACGATCATGGAGCGATTGTGGACTATACAGACACTGCACCTTCGCCTTGCAAAGATTTTTACCATCTTTTCATAACTCCTGAACTTGTTATTTACAGATTATGGAAAATTGTGCCTCCAACACGCTCCGATTCGTCAAATCCGCCGTCAGAAGTGAGGGACTCGCTGGAAGATTTTCAATACGATGAGAGACTTCACAGCGAAATTCAAAGAGTCGGTGGAGCGAATACGTTAGATTACATTACTAATATATGTCAAGGAAAAATAGACTATTTACCTCGACTGAAAGAAAATATTTTATTAAAGATATTGCTTATGTTGGATTTAGAAGATCTCGCTCGCCTTGGTCAAGTTTCTAAACAATTCAGGTTTGTTGTTCTACCCTATTTATTTTTTTTTTACCTATTTTAGTATTTATTATAGACCTATTGTATTACCTGATCTTAGAGACCAGACAAATACTAGTTGTAGTAGTAGTAGTCTATATAAGTTTACTTATTGTTGGGGACCCATACAGACAGATGTATATTGTTAGTGTAATTTCTCCAAAAGCTTAGTTCATTCAGGGTAAACACTTACTTATAACAAGAGGTTAGTACAAGATAAACATACTAGCTATATAAATATTATTATATTACTACTATAGGCTTAGTCCGTACTAAATTATAAATTACATGGGAACCTTACAAATTAATAACAAGGTTATAATATTTTAGTACAGGTACTGTAAGCTTATAAAAAATCGGAAAGAGGCAGTTTTTTTTTTTTTTTTAGAAGGTTGTAAAAGTTATGTGATCAAATTAGGTAATCAAACCTAGATGTCCCTCTATAAAATCCAGTTGAAATTTACTAAGATCAGTTGGGAATTTAATGCCATCATAATTGCATAATTGTATGACAGAATCTAGTTTAGAATTTAGTATCTCATGATATCTGCTAATTTAAATCAATACAGTTTTTTTTAATGAGGTTACAGCTTTCAAGTTCAGCATGTTTTACGAAATAAAAACTTAGGGGATGTAAATTGTAAACTAAGTTCTGTGTCAAACAGGTCTAATTTATTCTGCAACCATTGGCAGCAATGTATTTAATGTCAATTGAAATACCTGAACTGTTCTTAACACTGGTATATAGGTGTTTTGTAAATTGACCTGATAAAGCGAAGTTTTTTTTAATATCTTGTTTGTTTTGAGGCCTAAACTTCAAGATTTACTTCCTTTTAGAATGACCATAAAATATAAATCTCAGTCTTCACCAATAGGAGTAGGCTCAATATATTTATCAGTGAACTTCCTTGTGTCAATCCTGATATAATCTAATAAACCCATAAAACTGCAAGTATGTATTCAAAACCCCTTGAAAAATCTATAAAACAACAAGGTCTTATTAGAAAACCTTTAAAAAATCCAACAAACTATTTATTTACACGTAGATTTTACCTTGTATTAATAAAATTCAAAAATAACAAATCTATGAAACTTGGTCCCAAGAATAAATAATGTTACAGCAGTAAATTGAGGCATTGTACAATCTCACTAGATTGAATATATAAATACCTTTAGTTAAGATTATATTCAAGTATGTTTTATGACATTGCAATATACTACACAGAAAATCAAAACAGGATTCTTTTAATCCGAATCACTAATTAGACACTTTTCATCTTTATACTTCCAGAACTCTTTGTAATTCTGATGTTTTATGGCAGAAGATTTATATAATGAACAGTGAAAGTGGAGTTACACCAGATGTTGAATCTCTAGCAGCTAGCATTGGGTGGAAAAAACTCTTCTATACCAATAAACTACAATTACAAGTTCAACTTCGTCGCCAGCGAGCTCATGAATAAACTAAGCACTACCTTAAAATAGGTTTCTTTGTCAGGGGCCTTTTTCATAAAAAATACCTGTATTACTTAGTTACAATTAGCATGTAAAGTCATAGGTTGCAACCATCTTCACAATGTCAAGCTATTACAAACTGTCTTATACATTGATTGCAATAACCATCTTTCTTGTTTCACAGAAGTTTGTAAAAGCAACAATTTGAGTGGATTGCATGCTATCAAATAAAGTTGATGGCACAGCCCAATTGTTTACAGTATTTCTGTCGACGACTCTGATTGGCTGTAGTGGCTAGTGTATAGTCCAATCAAATTGCTGCATTTATTTTACAATTTTGTAGTCAAGGTTTTAAACACAGTTCGTAATGGCTTATCATCTGAAGTAAGGGTTTTATGAAATTGGCCTCAGCATTATTACAAACTGCCTTGGAGTTTCTTCCTTGAATCCTGTCAAAATTTATTTTGTTATAATGAAATTATTGTTTATTGGACATTTCTGTGATATTATGCTATTTGTTGTGTTATTTTTAGAAGTTGAGAGTGTTAATGATATGGTCACTGTTATTTGATTGCTTGTCTCATTGTTAGATAGAAATTAAAGTTTGTGTGCTGATGTATTACTGTTGACTAGTCTTTCTAACTAAACTTGTAAACATCTGTCCAGTGGCGGAGCCAGGTTTACGTCCGAGGGGAGGCAAAATACCTGAGGTTGCCTGAGTTTAGCCAACCTTTAGCAGGATGCATAGATCTACATGTTTCTTTAGAACAAATGTGACCCCTTCTGTGTCTAAACTTGTGCAGAAAAGGAAGACGGAAAATTCCATTTCTTACATGCTGACTGTTCTCTGAAACTCACTCACCAAAAGTAAACCATTCATAAAAACAGGTTATGATTTAGTCATGAAGTATGAGGAATTGGGGTGTGGTTTGGACACTATACATTAGACATTGCTCATCATGAACATCAATAGAACCTCGTCTGAGAAAAGAATGATTCAGGACAAGTGATTTCCAAGATTTATGTTGAAGGTCCAACTGGGAAGAAAGGATCTTTGTTTGAAGCATACAGACATTCCTCCTTGTTTCTTGCTTGAGAGAAAAGGTCATGAGACAAGTAAATCATTAACTGTTGTCTTTCTCTGTTAAAAGTGGCTTGATTTTTTTAAACAAGATCTCCTAATATAGTAAAATGCCTTAGTAGTTTGACTACAGTATTATAGTCCCTATATTATATTTGCTGGTTATATAGGCCTATAAATTATTGTGTGCTTTTAGTAGTTTGTTTTGAAATAAAAAAAGATTAAACAAGTTTCATTTTTCATTATTCTTACTCCTTGGCCAATGCTTACTTGAATTGGTTTTACACTTCTTTCCAAAGAAACCCATCCTCTTTGACATTTAATTCATTGATCTTTTCTTGGGGTTTCTTTTGGTAAAAAGGCATTGGCTTTTTGCCCAGCTATTATTGGATTGGCACTTGAGAGCAGATTACCCTTTACATAGGCCTTTGTAGCAAGAAATGTTTACTAATGGGGCCATTTTGAAGTACGATTTGGTTAAAATCAATAGTGATCCTTTGGGGCAATTTTAGTAAGGTGCCAGAGATTCAATAATGTCTTAAGACTCCAATTCTCCAATTAGGACAACTCGATTTCTACGTCAATCAGATAGCTACTTTCGCTTTCTCGTAGACTAGATTAACAAGGCTTAGTCTTGACTATCAAGACTCAAACTTCAAACCCACGTGATACCAACAAGTTTGACAAAATGGCCGTCCTCGATGTCCGGAATGACGAAATATGATAAATTTAATGTAATTTCAGCACCATTTACAGCATTTAGAAGATAAACCTAAACAAAAATGTCATCTGGAGTAATATTAGGCGGACTCTGTCTGGCTGCCATTGGATTTGGTGGAAGGTATTTGGCAAGACATGGAAAAACAGTTACGGAAGCCATGAAAAAACAAGTGGATTCTCTCCCTTCTGGAACCTTCAGTAAATATTATAAAGGGGGTTTCGATCAGAAAATGTCTAAAAGAGAGGCTGGGCTAATCTTGGGAGTGAGTCCTGCAGCCAGTAAAGCGAAAGTAAAAGAAGCTCATAAGAGAATTATGTTATTAAACCACCCAGATCGAGGAGGATCTCCATATTTAGCTGCTAAGATAAATGAAGCCAAAGATCTTATGGATGTTGGAAATAAAAAAATTGGATCTCCAATGCGATAAAGTGTTATAATTGAGAGACGAAATGAAGAAGGATTTAGATAAACACAAATGAACAAAGAGCATAGTGTTTGTGTAGTATTAATACTACATTGTACCTAAAATTTGACAATAATATTAGCTTAGAGGACTAGGCTAGCGTACACCAGTGCCTTTGAATATTTGCATTGAGAACTAAGTAACAGGTTAAAGCAGTCTAATTAAAAAAAGACCTAACTTTCGTTCAGTTTTTATGAGCATTTATTATTATTCAGCCACTACAATAGAAATAAAAGCTAACAAAAACAGAATAAAAGTTTGGTTAAATTTGATTTAGACTGGCCATAAAGTTTTCTAAAGTCAATCTTTGTTGTGTTGTGAAAGACAGACATAAATGTAGAATGCACTTCATGAACTATTTAGCCAGATGAAAATAAATTGAATGTTTAAAAATTAGAGCAGTTAGTAGCAGTGATATGATAGTGAAATAATTAACTGAGTGTGTTTCCAGTTGTGAATCTGTTTATTACATGTGAAAATGTATTTTAGTTTTTGAAAAAAACTTCATTAAATTTCTGCTCATGTGTTTTGTTTGATAAAGCTGTCTCATTTTCTCTCATTGCACACAGCTTGGTGTGGGGGAAAATTATACTGGACCAACCCTTAACATTGACATGGTATAGTCAAACACATATATTTGCTCATCCTGGTTCTGGCAAAACATAAACACAATTAATGTTATATTTTCAAGGGTATTGACTGTAACATATTTAAAGGATTAGACTAATCCCTCAATTAAATGTGAACATGGAATAGAATTTAACGAAAAAGGATATTTTATTTATTTTTCAAATTCGTTATTCACAATAAAGTACACATTTTGAAATTTTTCTATCTGACATTGTGATGGCAAGTTGGGAAAATTCTATGTTTTTTTTTTTACTTTATTGTGAATAAACCAAGTTGCATACATTTTAATCTCATTTTTATACTCCCACATGAAATATCAACCGAAGATGAACCTAATCGAAAATGAGAAGAATCGAAAAATATTTAGTTTGAGTTATTGCCCTTGTTCTTAAAAACACTTTAGCTTGTAAACTATCTTAAAGGCCCAATTCTTGACAGATTCTGACTAAACTTGGTAATATTGTACAGTATCGCCCCAAGAAGTTCAAAAGAAGTGTATGACTCAGTTGAATATTTCATACTGGTAATTGTTACTGTAAGCTTACTGCCCAATATTTTTGTTTAAAATCAAAAGTGCCAGTGGGTGTACATTACCTTGCCCGGCAAGCTATCTTAGATTTTCATATCCAATTTCAGGATTAGTCTAACCCTCTAAATTCCATACCTTTTGTATATTTGAAAATAAAATAGACTGACAGTGTTTTGAGATACCCAGATGAGCAAAAATATCTGTAATTGACTTTACCGGTATATAGAATTTATTCTTTGCGTGACAGCAACACAGGATACATAGCAGTCAGCGCCACAGCCCTCCCTTATTTCTATGGGGCCAAATAAAAAACATCAGATTGGATTTAAATAACAAGATCTATAATTTATTATATAATTAAAGGCATAAACAAAGAATCACTTTCAATAATTGGAGACTAATCATGCAAAAATATAAGTCCACTGTTGGAATAATACACTAAGGCTGCAATACTTTGGCTGAAATAGTACCAAAACCAAGCAGATGGAAAGTCCTTATATAATATAAACCATTATTTGAATTTCTAAGAAAGGAACAACTTCTTCACAATGTCAAGCTATTACAGACTTATAAGTTGATGTTCGTAATAGCTTGACATTGTGAAGATGAGAAAGGTAGGGATTCACAAAAAGTTAAAATATAAAAAAATAGTAGTGCATATATATATTTAGAGAGTAACATATCACAAAAACACAATTTCATTATAATATTTAGTATGGACATTACGGTAGAGAGATTGCATTGAGGTTTCCTCACAGTTTTGCTAAATAAATATTTAGACATTAGTAATAATAGGGAGCTTGAAAGAAATGGGACTAGGTTGGGAGTAGGGGAATTTTCAAGTAGAAGAAACAGATAAGAGGGTAGGGAAAGAAAGGGGTAGCATGGTGGGGGGTACGTAAACAGGTCAGCATACTTGGGTACTCCACATATCCTTAACAAATACATAAGGTTTAAACAGAAACTAACAATATGCAGATCCCCAAAACTGTAAATTTTTTAAGGGAACAGACGAAGTAGATAGGGAAAGAAGGAGGTAGCCTATAATGGCAGGAGAAATATGGGGCTTCACAGGTAAACCTACTTGGGTACACCATGTATCCTTTCAAACTATATAAGATTCAGTCTGAAACCCCAAAAATGCAGGTAAGAGATATATGTATTATTTTGCCCCATAGAGATATTTATATCACTAATGACATCCAGTGTTTTGGAGTTTGACTAACAAGCATTCTTACAACATATGGAATAATCCTTTCTGGGCATTTTAGAGACACAATTTTATGGTAGTCTAATCCTGTATCATGTGCTATTCTTTAGTTTTATTGTACACAATGTCTATCAGATTCTGAAACTCAAATATAGTACATGTATACTATAAAATTGTGTTCTATTATTTAACATTAAAATTATTTTCACTATGACTTTTTCACCTCTAATAGACAATGTATTACAAGTGATAAAAAATGGACTAGTCTCTAAAATAAATACATCAATTCACAATTTATATTAGTGACAAAAGTTTGCACTTACAATCTTTTATTGTCGAAAGTGTTGTATATATATTTTATATTTCACACCAACTACAAATTTTTAAGATTTTCTAGAAAAATGTGGCCTGGTGTCATAACATCTTCTCAATGTCAAGTTATTACGAACTGTGTCTTAGAAAGTCATAACAGCTTGACATAGTGAAAAAGCATGAGGGTCATTATAATCAGTGAATATTGAGCAAACAGCAAATGCATGTACATTAACAAAACAACCATATTCATATAAGTAATGCTTCTAGTAACTATATAATATATATCTAAGGACACTATGGAAGGGGGCTATGTGAGCATACTCTGGTAAATGTTTATTTTATTTAAGGGATTGTAAAGAGGTTGTCTAAATTTTTTATATGTAGTGTATCAAGGACACTGATAGCACCATTGCAATTTTTTTTAAGTCGTTTCTGCAATACTAAAACGAAGTGTTTGAGGACAAATTTCAGGATTAGTGATGCCATCGAACAGTTATCTTTTGTGAAATTGCAGGAACCACAGATGTCTGACTGAAAATCAGAATGGTGCAAATTGATGATATCAGTGTTCCTGAACATAAAAATTATTAGAATACCTCTTTACAATCTCTTCAAGTTTTCAGCGACATGTTAACAGATACTCATCACACAGAGATAATTACACAACCAACATACAAAGTGTTTTTAGCAGTAAGGCTGAAAATACCTGAACATAGTAAATAAAGGTTGAGCCGAGCTATTCATGCACATCTGGGTAGGACTCAAACGTCATCATACATGAGCAGTCCATTTTAATTGTGGTGAAATAATAAGAAGAAAGTGAAAGTAAGAAATCTAGACTTTATTGTCACATACTACTTACACTACCTCGAAATAAAATGGACTACTCTTGTTTTGAAATGACCCTTGATTTGCATAAATAACTTTGCTCCATTATACATATATACCATTTTTTGGCTAATGAACTCTTCTTCAGATAATCATACTGATTGGGAAACATGCATGTGTGGAAGAGTTCAATAAAAGGTTTAAAGGGATACCATCTCTTATAATGGATTTAAATTTAAGGTTTCAAACTTAGTCAACAAGTGTATATATTCATCAGTTGGACTTACCAGGTGCCATGACTGAAGAATAGAATCTCTATATAAGACGATATATCAAATAAAGTAAATATGGAATATAACTCAGTTATAATGATTTATTGGATTATAGAGAGTTTCTATTGTATAATTATGACACCAGGTAGTCAACGGATTAACAAAGACTCATTTTAACCAAGTTTAAAATTTTAAAATTTTTTGATTATCCTAAGAGGTAATAGGGCCTCTATCTTTAAGCTTGATAGTCAAGGAAATTAAAGCTAAGCTATACTATTTCAAGTTATGCTATATATATATATGTAAATGCTGCCTATATTTGGGGTCTATAAGGTAGTTTATTCTTGGAGATGATATACACATATAACTCTACGATTGTTCCTTTCTGCCTAGCATAAGGCTACTTTGTTCCTTCTTCAAATAGGTGTAGATGGTGTATCCACCTTTAAAATGTCAAGCTATTACAAACATCTTCTTATACCTTGACTGCAATAGCCATCTTGACTTTTATTGTCATGGACACTGACTGGCTGTATTTGCTTGCGTTCATATCTGGAATCAAACCTATCTATTGTATATAACAGATGAAAATATTGTGATAGAGGTAAACAATTTGTTATAAAAAAGAAACATCCATTAGCTTACATACAATATTCTTAAAGGGACAGATGTGCAATTGTGGGGTGAAAAAAATTCCCATCTGTCCCTTTAAGGTGGGCTCAAGACAACTGTGTAACTGCACAGATGCATGTTAATTTACTGTCAGTTGCCACCATTTGCTTATCTCCATTACAAATTGGACTTTCTTAAAGGCTTCTTCACTTGTCAAGCTATAAAAAACTTTGTCTTATACCAAGACTGCAATATATATTTATAAAAGCTCCGGCTTGTTTCTGAAACCGTAGCCCATGTATATTATGTATTTAATGTATCATTTCTTGAATAAATATTGTCTAAAGACTGCATTAGTCACCTTCCTCGTATCATGGAAGTTTGTAAATGAAGCAATTTGATTGAATTGAACGATAGAAAAAAAGCCAGACTAAGGACTTGACAAAAAGTCTGTAAACACTAAGCCATAATGCTGACAGCCTTTCTGTCCTGGTTGCATTCACTGACGTACAATCCAATCAAAGTGTTACATTCTGTGATATAAATAAGTTGGCTATTACAGTCAAGTTATTGGATATAGCTTCACATTCTGAAGACGCAAGAAAGGTTACTACTGCAGTCAAGGTATAAGCCAAGGGTTGTAATAGTTAGACATTGTGAAGATGTCTAGAAAGCTGACTTCACATTCATTGTAGTTGCTTTCCTTGATCTTGACTGCAACTACATGCTTTAAATCAACATTCGACCTGAGACCACCTTTACACACAGATGGATCCCATTTTACAAAAAAATCTCATGATCACTTTTGTCATTAAAGGGATTGTAAAGAGGTTTTCTAAATTTTGTATGTGTGTCGGGAACCCTGATAGCATCAATTTGCATCAATTGCACCATTTTAATTTCAATCAAACTGTGATTCCTGCAATTCCACTAAAACTTAGTGTTTGCAGAGGTCACTAATAGGGAAGTCCTTAAGTGATACAGCATATTTTGCTATTAGTGACATCTTCAAATGCTTAATTTTTAGTAGAATTGCAGAAACCCCAGACCTCTGATTGAAAATTGGAATGGTACAAATTGATGCTATCAGTGTCCCTGATACACATAAACAACTTAGAAATCCTCTTTACATTCCCTTCAAGCAAGTATGGCATTTCTCTATATGTAAAATTGCACGACAAATTTCAATCATAAGATTTTTTATAGAACAGGAACCATTCTCTTGAATTAATTTACTACAAACATAATATAATCTCAATTTGGTTTACAATACTTGATACTGGTAACCTACCCACAATAAAGCAAGGTGCCAAAGACAGTTTATGTCAGTTTTACTTTTCTACCAAAAAATGTCAAAAACATTGATAAATATTTCAAAACATCTCAAAAAAATCAAAGTCAAAAATGTGTAAAATTGAAAATTTGAATCTATGTGTATCACCATGACAACCTAATAAAACGTTATTATCTAGAATTTTTCTATATTTTGAAAAGAATTGGAATATCAGCCTTAAAATAGCACTGTTCTAGCACTAGGTCTTTTAATGTCATAGCGTTGATATATAATACAATTTTTTGTAAGTTTACATTGAAAAGAAACATATTTCTCTCTTAGAAATTTCTATCTGTAAATCCAAAATTTTGGCTGAAAATTACCCTGTGTAAAAACAAATTTTGAAGACTTAATGTAAAGTCATTCTAAGACCAATAGTACTATTTTGAGGCCACTATTCCGATTCTCATCAAACTAATGAAAAAAAATTAAAAATACTTTTTACTTTGCTCAGACAAAGTCAAAACAAAAACTGGGCCAAAAACAATATTCAATACAACTAATATATAGTTTATCTAACATAACAAGCTAAATATAGGATGTAAAACTCCATTTCATATTATTTCATCCAACAATTGTGTAATAATGCCCCGAATCTAAAATCCTGTTTATTTGTGAGCATCATTTCTCAACTAGAGAAAAACATACATATGCGTGAAATTACAAAATACAATTCAGAATAACTGACACAGTAGTAATAGAAGAAGTGACTGGACACATACCTTGTATGTTAACTTGTTCCATTTCTACTGTATAGTATTGTATATCTTCTATTTGCCTCATAATTATATACCAACAGCATCAACCATGCCAATTCTAACTCACAAATATAAAGCAAATTCATCTATGGCAAGAATTTAAGAATTTTTGCTTTTTTTTTTTTTGCAGGTTCAGCCTATTTGTGTGACATTTATAATTTAATTAAGACAATAATTAAATTGTTATATTGTAATGGACTGCTATTTAAAAGTCAATACATCAAAGTGAGACTTATAGTAACAAGCTAACCTAGCCCGGCTAGTTGAATCAATCTAATTCACATGAAATCAAAAGCTTTGGAATCATTTCAAGGTTTCCCTCCAAGAGATTCCATCTATCCAATCATATTAGGAATATTCTGATACAACTGTAACCAGGTAAGAATTCTTGTTCCATGATTGGATAGACCTCAACTAAATCGATAGACCTGAATTCACTCGGTGAAGTCACCTTTTCATTTCCTGGCCCAACATTTTTTTTACAGTTTTTAGACATCTTTTTTAACTTTGCATTGAGAAATATTGCAACAAGATTTATCTTGTTCAGTCCTATCCTATCCTTGGACATGAGATACAGATGGAATATCACCATGTTTAAAAAGTGACGTTTTATGCCGATATCCGCTTTGTATATCACGTCTGGGGAACGGGTAATTTTTCGGGCTTATCTGCCATGAGAATATAAAGACTTAAATATGGTATAACCTAAGAAAATTAAACTCAAGTTAAAGAGATACCACCTCTTACAATGAACATAAAATTACACATCTCAAATTCGGCCAATAAGAGCACATATTTATCAATCTCGAAACGATTTTAGCGCTAGGATGTCCTAGGTTCTTATCTTCTAAAATTGATTCTAGGACATCCTAGTGCCAAGATCGTTTCAAGAATCAATGATCTGGTGTCATTAATATACAACAGAATCCCTGTATAATACCATAAATCTAAATAACGTAATTTATAATATTTACATGGTATCTAGGAACTACTAAGTTTTATGGATTAAGTTTGAAAATCTAAATTTTATGTTAATTCTAAGAGGTAGTATTACTGTCAGAAATATTTTGTAATGAATTACACTAAGGCAGTTCTCCCAGCCATATCAAATAACAAGTTGGAATAAAGATTTGAGCACTAAATTTAAAGTGACTATATACAAGAAATTTCTGAGCCAGGTCAGCCTGCCTGACCAAAAGTTTTGCTTTTAGGTTTGCTTGTTTGCAAGATCTCTTTCTTGAGAGTGCAAAACAAAGGTAGCCCAATCCTTTCAAAACCTCAGAGAAATTTTTTGTCATGACTATTAAACTATATACTAACAATATTCTTAGATCAAAAACCATGAATAAACTCTGTACAAGCAAGGTAATTTCGTGAATCAAAATCTCGTCCAAAGTATGGCAAAATCGAGAGCAGAAGTAGTTAATGGTGACTAAAACTAAACTTTGATCTTAAAAGCTTACAGTGGTGCATTGGAAGTAAACTTCAATAGATCCTGTTATTTCTTCAGAAAAGTCTATAAATATAGAGCGTCTATTGTTAGAATTTAACAGAATGATTCCAGAATATTTGGAAAAGAATGACGGATGCCTTATACAGAAGCTTTGCTTTTGATTGCAAATTATTTTGTGCTCTAAGCTTATATATTTCTCCTTCATACAATGACTTTAACCAATTCATTTCGGATTTATGCTGAAATTCTTGTATATAATCACTTTAAGGAATTCAACCTAGTAATTTTTCTACTTGTTGTGCCAGACCACTTAACTGAAAATAAACAGCCTCGTTTCTAAGTTCACGCAATGTCTGTTTGTTTCTAGGTAAAGCTTCAGCATTTAATCCTCCGTCGCGAAGAAAATTTAAAATATAGCGGAAATGGGTTCCATCTCTATCAATAAACACAGTTCCATCAGCCTCTGTTTTGATTGGATGACGCCCACTAAACATGGCCGCTAACATTGAATCTTGATCTCGAGTCAAGGTCAAAATGGACGTAGTGTAAATGTGACCTCCAACATCAAGTTTTACTCTTCCCTGGAAAAAAGTAAAAAAGTTATTTATCAACTTATCACCTTTTTTATCACCTTTTCGTCAAAGTCATGAAAATATTAGAAAATCTCTTGACCATGCCTTTGATTTATGTACAAGGTTATTTTCAAGTTTGTCATGGAATTTAGGTTCTCTCCCTTGATTTCGAAATTTTTATTTTGGTGAGGTCAGCTATTCGTAATATCTCAAATCATTTCTGTAAATATTATAAAATTTTTCTCTATCATAAAAGTGTTAAAGGAGATAACTATATTTTTATCATAACGCCAATTTACCAAAATGCAAAATTAATTTAATGAGACATCAAACTGCCTTTTCAAAGACAGCAGAGACATCAAACTGGTTTTTCAAAGACAGCAGAGACATCAAACTGCCTTTTCAAAGACAGCAGAGACATCAAACTGCCTTTTCAAAGACAATATTTTAACCCCATGAGTTTCCTTTGTCAGTTTGTTGTATCAGGTTTATTCTTTATTTAAGCATCAGGGAACTAAAGTACATGCAATAGGCTTATTAAGAAAACCCACAGAACTATTTCCTCAGAATTGGAACTAAATTTTACCAAATCATTACCTTTCATTATATCACTAACATACAATACCGATTTATTTTGTAACGTTCTGACGGTCAGCTAATCCATTTATACATTTCAACGATCTTCTTAGCTTAAATCCATTTTTCGCACTTACTTATTAATTCAAACCTTTTCACTCTTTTCAAAATCAAACCTTTGTATCACATCTTGATAATATACTAACAACTAAGATCCATGTATGCCTTTCTACCTCATTAACTTAGTTGATGGAATATGATTTATTAACTGCAATTTGATATTCTTCTCCTTATGATTTAGAACACTATTATACCACTGGTATTTGTACGTATACACCCAATTATGTAACCTTTGTTTAAACACACTTTTACGAGTCAGGCTGTTTGTACCCAATATCATCATCCACGGAGGTTAAATCATAAATATATATATATATATACATGTATTGATAAATCTGGGAGTGCAAACACAGCAAATAAAAAACATTTACATACAGTACTCCATCACCATAGTAACAATTCCAGGATTTTAAATTCCGACCAATAACTACGTTAAAATGAAACGGCTACTACGACATTCCAGATGAGAGTGGTATAAGATATATAAGATAAGTAAAGGTAGGCTACACACATTAATAAGAAAGTGGCGGTATAAAGAGTTATTGCCCTTGAACTACTATAGCACCTACATAGAGTGACACCAGACACAAACTCTTGCTAGTTAAAAATAGAAAATAAATATATAAAAACATACAAAATACATCAAAATGTTTACTTTTAAAACTGTCTAAGCTAATAATAAAACATTCTCAAAAATTTATTTTTGGGGACTTGATAATTTTTGTATGGAATTTGCTACAATATCACTGACTGGACAAAAAGAGTTAAATTTTAAGCACAGTATCCTTTAAAATTTCAGAGGCTAAATTGCCAAGTTTTATTCCTTTAAATCTTCAACTGATGTCAAATCAAGGTGATTTTCAAATTTATTAAGCATCATGGCGTTCCTGACTCTTAGTGTGAATATAGAGGGCATGCATGCATGGCTTGATAGAATAACTAGCTCTCGATGTAATATCAGATTCTGCTCTTAACTTCGCCATAATTGACACCATTTGACCTTACTAATTTGTACATTGTGTGCGTTATATTCTCAATTATACAGTATGTACTGAAGACTAAATGAGCCATCTCGGATCTATGTGAATAATTTGCCCTTAATCTGTTTTACATGCACTTATTGAATGGGAAGCCTAGAACACTATACAATATGGATAACAAACTCAACGAGAAATTTCAATATAATTACATAAAAAACCTTATTCTAAAAAAACTTGACTTAAAGATGATTTTAGTGTCATTTGATTGGTCAGTTTGAAAAATCAAATTTAAATTTGGTATTATTATCCAATAAGATTACTGTATTTCTCAATGAAGTTAATAAAAAATATTTTTGAACTTAGAGCTTAGATGGCTTTCTAGTGTTATAGAAACTGTTAATAGTGACTGTTTGTGTTTACCGTAAACTTTACGATCCTTTGAATAAGGATGTGCATAAATTTGAATAAATTAACATAAAGTGACTGTTATCCATAAAGTGTGTAATGTTCTATCAATAGCCGACGAAAGAATCAGGAGCGTTTGCGAACACGTAGAAATAATTTGCAGATGTTAATTGTGAAAGAATAATAAAGAAAAATACCTGAACCCTGGATTAATAAAAACATCTAACTAACTCAAATATAGCAGGTTAACGGTTTAATTAATAACACTCGCTGATCAGACAACTTCTTTCCTCGATTGAATTTTACCCATAGTATCGAAATACCGACAATTCACCCACAAGTTAACAACAAAGTGAGCAAAAGAATTATGGGAAAATTACAAAGCTTGGTTACCTGAAAATTTATAAATGATAAAAAAACAGGACACAACATTTGTCACCAGTGGATTTCATCTAGGATTTTACGTTGCCCAAATGCCTTTCAAATTTAATCAAAGAGCATTCAAGAACCTTTCCCCTTTTGTTTTTATGTTTAGCTTCAGAATGAGAATGAACCTTTAACCTCTCAAGGTAAAGTACGTTTAGCTTATTACTGAAAATATTGATATAGTGAATCTTGTAAAACTGATGCCCAATTAGGCAAATGAGCATCAATGGAAGTCAATTTATTTATTTTAAAATAATCTTTGAATGCAACTTTTTAAGTTTAATCTGGAATGATACATTTTATTTTTTATATCAGCATACAAGTTTTACTGAAGTCCAAACTCACCAAAACTTGATTAACAAGTGAAGATAATAGCTTTTAATTTTTTGGTCTTTTGGTATACAATGGGAGAGCTCTTCATCAGAGTACCGTAATTATCTTTATGAATTTATGAGCAATCAAGATAAAAATTAAATTGAGAAAGTGAAGTCACTCATACTTTCTGACACCAAACAAATTCTTGACGACATATAATATAGTGTTTATATAATATTCCTAGATGAAACCCTACCATCAACAAGCAGAAGAATAATATAATATTATAATAAATGGATCTTATAAAGCCATGTTTCATGCAGACTAAGAGAATATTATAGGCTCTCTCAAACTTCAATTTCCCAGCTATGTTTGATGGGAACTTCTCTTTAATAATTTTTGGGCTTTCTTTATAAATCATTTTTAATAAAAAAATCCAAATTGAAATATGATATACATACGTAAATATGAAGGGATTTATTGAGCATTGCGAAAATATATTGAGTCTATTCCATGTTGTTCGCATTGAGGACATTGAGGCTACTTTGGCTTCTATTTTCATTTAGCACTGCGAAAAATAATACCAACAAGCTGATAGACTTGTCAATTTTCAATTGAAAGATCTTTAACATGCGCAGAGTAGAGCATACTGAGAGTGATAGAAGCAAGAAGTTTGAGAGAGCTTTCTAATAACATCATCATTCATTATAAAGGGAGATAACTAAGCTCTGGGTGTAATTATAGAAAGAGTGATGTGAAATAACAACGTATTGATGCATTCAGGACATTTATTAGATGGCAACCCTAGGTTATTTATAGGCAACCCTCAGATGGACGCAACCATAGGTCATTAATAGGAAAAGTCAGGGTTATATATAGGCAACCTTATGGAATTTAAATGTAACCATGAGATATTTGTAGGCAATCCCTGGGTATTAATAGACACAATACCTTTATATTGTTTGGGGTAAACTACAGTTTGCAACTTTTCCCTTGGATTTCCGAAATATTTCTAAGAAATTTTATGTAAAATCAGATGAATCTTAAAAATACTGATTTGTCCATACTATTTAGATTGCTCTAAGAGAAATTAGAACCCTACTAAGGTTGCTCTATGAGGATTTCTCTGTGGTCAGATAATAGAATAGCCGACCTCACCCTTTCATCTCTCTTTATCAAGATTGGTTCTCATTTTCAAAGCCCATTATATTCAATGGCATGCATCCAATAATATTACGACCAGAAATACGATTGGAAATTTCAGTACATAGGACCATCTTTTACGGAATTTAATTGAACAGTCAAACCATTTTCCAAACATTACGTTCCGTCAAACTTCAAACTAACTTATTAACCTTCATTAACTTCCCATCAAAATTTTCAATGAGAAACAGACTTGATAAATATTCCTCTTTAAACTGACCAATCAGAGTGCATACATTACCTGTGACCTTTGACACTAAGCAATCATGTGGCCTCACCTTTTGAATGTTGTGCATCTCCTCCATACGTGTGATCTCGTCTCGGAGTTGCTGCCAACGTCGAGCCATTTCTTCCCTTTCTTTTTTCATCTCATCATCAAATTTAGTTTTATCTTTTAATAAAGTTTGCTGTAATTCAGCAATTTGTTTTTGTTTCTGTTCTATTTCATTGGATTTTTTCACAATGTCCTCGCGAAGTTCGCGTAACGACTCGCGTTCATGGCAGACTTCCTGATGTATTGAGTTTATTTCATTAATACGTTCACTAAAATATAGTTCTAATGACTCAGATACACTTTGGTAATCATTCTTTAGAGAACTTTTGATACTTTCTAATATATTATCTGAAAAATAACAAGAAATACAAAATGGAGATATAACATGCTTCAAGCTAAGATGGATAACAACATAGCCTCCTGTATGGACATGAATTCCATGCTTTTAAGCCATGTTCCTTCTCATAGCTTTCAGCATGTGAAGCAATGTTAACTAGGACTTGCAAATTATGGCCCATTAAGATTAATGATATCATGAAAGACATAGTTTTACTGGAATTGCAGGAATCACAGACGTCTGATTGAAAATTGGAATGGTACAAATTGATGATATCAGTGTCCCCAATACAAATAAAATTTTAAGAAAATCTTTAAGGACTTATCACAAGAGAAACAATTGAGCTTAATGGGCCTACATAAATACTTTATCAACAATAATTTAAAAAGAATCAAATGAACGAGTTAACCCAAACTGACATACGTTTCTTTTGGCAACTTTTATTCAAAAACATTAATGACTCAATCCATATGAAGCTACGTATGGTTCTTACATAAAATAACTCACACAAACATAGTTGAATCATTACCTTGGCCTAATGATTCAAATTTTCAAAAAGGTTATCCTTCAAATTACAAATTTAAAGACTTAGAAATTGTTTTAAATATGATTTTAAGGCTCTGTTGAAATATACTACACTTTTTAAAGACCCATCTTATTGTGACTGAACCTACCTAATTTGGCATTAACGTTGAGGTTTCCGTTATCATTGCTCCCTGATGGAGCTTCCTCCCTCTCAGCTCCTCCATCACACAGATGGACTCCGGACTCATTAGAATTCTGGAGCATATCTCCACAAATAAAACACAGCTCCTGTTCCTCCTCGTTCTCCGTCAATGGCCGTCTTCTTCCTACGATCATGTTCCTACGTCTACCCCGATTTCTGGGGCGAATCACCTGAATAGTAAGATTGTTATAAAAGGGCGTGTTCCACGTAATATTCACGCAAAAATTTGGAAAATTTCTCGGACAAACTGGTCCGTTGAATACTGGAGGTCTAAACCACTGATTAGGTGTGACTGGTTGTCCTGGAAACGGTGAACCAATGGGAAACTGTTGATTTAATCGTCGATCGTAAAAGACAGGTCCGTTCTGAGACCAATGAGGCCGTCCTTGATATACAAATACTTGTTGAAAACCACTGGGAGGTATATTCATAATGTCTGAAATGAAACAAAGGGGCAAAATGAAAGGCTGAAATAAAAAAACAAAGACAAACAGATTATGAAATGAAAAAAATTCGTACAGTATTCGAATATGCTGTGTATTGATTCCTAAAGCAGTAAGGCTCATTCTTAATATCTCCTAATCAAGGGCAATAACTGCAAAAGACATCTCTATCATGACAAGCAAATTAAATTCATTTTCTGTTCATTTCTCATCACACAAACTTTTGAACTCTTGAACTTACAGATTTACTTTTAATGGATGTCTGATTGACACAAGCTAAACAAATTTGAACTGAACTTCTATTTCTTTTGCACTTAAACAATTTTATGAGACTTATTGCTTATCAATAATAAATTAACAGTTTCATAATAATCAAATATACATTAAACAACATAATAAACATTATTAATGTTTAAAAGCACCAGGATAATATAGACAGTCAACAATATTCGTATACTTCTGTTTTTTCTTATGATAAAATGTACAGAATGGCTACAAGCAAGCGTGCATTTTCACATTGTCAAGATATTATAAACTTTGTCTTATACCTTGACTGCAACCGCCACTATTCTATCACAGATATTGGTAAATGCAGCAATTTGATTGGAGTGTATGCTAATGAATACAACCAATCAGATCTGACGACACAAAGTCTGTATACAATAAGCTTAATCGTGAACAATCCAATCAAATCGCTGTATTCTGTGATTCAATAGTGAAGTCAAGGTAAAAACAAATTTGTAATAGCTTGAATTATGAAAATGGCAAGTGTTTTGATAGGCCTGTTTTGACAATCACATGATATTATGAATTTCGTTTACCACTAGGACTTAAAAAGAGAAAGATATTTTGGAATTTATGTGTATTGGGGACACTAATAGAAATTTGCACCATTCCAATTTTCATTCAGACGTCTTTTGTTCCTGCAATCCACTAAACTAAGCATATCATGGTGTCACTAATCGCAAAATATGCTTGTATCACATTTAAATAATGTGATATGTAGGGCATTTGCAATTAGTGACATCATAAAACACTTAGTTTAAGTGAAATTGAAGGGACCACATATATCTGTTTCAAAATTGGAATGGTGCAAATCATTGCTGTCAGTGTTCCCAATACACATAAAAAATTTACAATTCTTTAAAGGAATTAAAATTTGATAGATTTTCGCATAAATACAGTTGACTGACTATAGTTTTTAAAGAAATTAAATATGGGGAAACCGAAAGCACTAATTTAGCCTAATAAAATGTTATTATAAAGCTTAATAAACTAAATTTTACAATATTAGAATTCATGCTGAAAAGGAAAATAGAAAGCTTATCATCTAATGAATATTAAAGGGACACGTTCGCCATCCATTTGACCAATCCTACCTTACTATCAGAATTGGGAATATTTTAGCTAAACTTATCGGTAATAGTGTTCACAGCTCATCGTCAAAATTTGAGCCTTCAGATCCATGCGTGTACAGAATTATTCCCATATGAAAGTTAAAGACAACTCATCTTTTCTTGAAATAGTGCCAACTCATATTCAAGTCTTTTAGCAAACCTTTGAGATGTTCACGGGACTGAGGAAAGTAGTAGACAGGATTCCTGAGAAGCTTAGTTAACATTAAGCAAATATCCTTGTAAAATTTGTATGTCTTCCTTTTTAAAAGCCTATAGAATAATATGAAATATCTAGTTGAATCAATAAAACTGTCTCTTGAAAGGATCCCTTCCCTGCATCCACATCACTAATTGCAAAATATTCTGTATCACATAAGTCTCTTCACAATAAGCAATGTCATCAAACACTTAGTTTTAATGGAATTGCATGAACCTTTACAATCAATCTGTAGAATCAAAAAGATGTCACAACTTGCCTGCAGTTACATTATAACTTGTTCAGTAGAAACAACAAAATAACCAAACTCAGGACTGATAACATAAAATATGAATGATTCTTCCATTTCTTTTATAAACAGAGAGACATTGGATTGTGTATTTATTTAGTTATTTTGAACTCCATCTGGTCCATAAACAAAAACAATAGACAGACTTTAATCAATCGTTATCTAAATGTGAATGAAAAGTTTCAGAGGAGAAAGAACATTGATTTTTGGCAAGTCAAGCCAATTGTTTTTGACCTACATTCAAACAATAGATTACATTTTTTTATTTCAAATTTGTTTAAACTTGATCAAAGTTCAATTTTCTTTCTACAATTTCATCTTGTGTCTTGATAAATGGGTAAAACTTATTAGAATTGAAAAGGAAAATCAATGCAAATTTTCAACAAAGCAAAGATCTCTCAGGGGAAGGGCTGTAACTTAGTCAGTTCAGTGTTTGAAAGTTTATGACATCAGAAATCAGCATGAAGCTAATATTTACAAAAACTGAAGTGTCCAACCAAGTAAGTTCAAATGATTTGTAGATGAAAAGTCATCTCGCTCCTTTTTTCCAAAAATGAGAAAAACCCAGAAATGAAACAGATAGTCTAAACTGAGCTCTATCAATTCATATCAAGACAGACCAGGCCAAGACAGAACTGTGTTTATATTGGTGCCATCAACAGTAAAGTAAGTTAATATAATCTGAGAGGAAGAAACCAAAGTCCAAAAGTAGCCATTATCCAACATAGAGGACAGCACAATACTATCGCAAAGTAATATTAATATCAAAGAACCACCGCAATGGTAATGTAAAAAAAAAGCTTATTTTAGCGAAATCACAAGAATCAGAGACACTTGTCTGAAACATCTGCCTCTGGCTCTATTCTGCCAACAACGTCAACAGTTACTGACCTATCAAAATAGCATTAGAGTCTAGAAGGAATGCAGATGTTTTGGACTACACAGACACCTGACTGAAAATTGGAATGGAGCAAATTTATGTGATCAGTGTCACCCTATACAGTATCTGATCTCTTAAGCCTCTAGATAAGCAGGCTTGTCTTGGGCTTAGTGGGCTAACCCTGCTCCAACTGGCCAATCTAATTGTTCTATCTAGTCCTCAGTCTGGGATTCAATATGGTTAATATGATATGATATACTTATATTTCATCAAAACAAAGGCATGCTAAAAATAGACTATAGGTAACTAGAATAGTAATTTGCTTTGTTTAAGTATAAATTTAACCGTATGTTTACAGTGAAATATATTAAGACCAAGCTTTCATTGTACAGTCATAGATAGTAATCACAGCAATTTCACTCATGATGATAATTGATAGGCTTACAAAATCAAGTGGTCTAAAAATAAACTCCAAAATAACTGACAAAAACAGTGCCCAATAATAGATAACATGAAACCAACTAAACATGTAAGAAACTAAACATATGTACAGTACAACACCAGTAAAAAGTAAAAAGCTCGACTAAATATGGGACGTTACACTAAGGAAAATAGCCATTTGTAATAGCAGACAGCAAAGTAGGTTTCTTCATGCGAATCATCTGGGCTCGAGTTGACCTCGATTTTTCCCAAGATGTAAACATTTGGTCATTTACCGTTATTTCGTCTTAAAGCGGCGACAAACGTCACTTACGAATAACCCCAAGTTGTCTTTACAAGCCATACGCAGACATTTCGCCAAATCTGTGAAACAGTTTCATGCAACAAGTCCGTTTTCTCCACAGTCCTCACTTCCTCTGCACACAATGTTGACACTTATGTTAGCAAGTTGATACGTCACAGTATAATCTGTGAATATTTAATTTTCGGTAATTTCCGTCACATTATTTTGCGTGAATAATTCATATTCGGATAATTCCGTGAAATCCAACTTGTCATTTTTCAGTCAAAGGGGAGCAACTCCATTTTTTGAGAGTTATCTTTGCTTGATTGACAGGTGGCAGTAATGTCAATGAATCCATTCTATCAACAAATCTTCAGATGAATGTGAATCAAAATTTATAAATAACTTGAAATAGATTCGACAGGCAGACGTAAAAAATGGACAAGTTGAAGAAGGCGCTTAGCCAAGACAAAGAAGATGAGGAGAGTGGAATTGTCACGCAGGTAACGTCCAAATTTTAGTTATGAAACTGTCCAATGTCAACATCCTGTCTTTTTCTCAAATGATTTTCAGGCAGTTCCCCTCCCACTTTTTTGTGATGGTTATGTGTGATGTGAAACTCCTCTGTTTAGTATTGAGATAAATTGGTCCTATGTTACTTTGGATTATTTGTTATTCTGCTGTAGCAGACGACAATAACAGAGTTGATAGTAGATTGAAATCAAAGATCAGTTCTGAAAGATATTTTAGTTTCCCAGAATTTACATTGTTGTAATTTTTCTTTGCAATTTAAGCTTATTAATCAAGTTGATAATAAATGTAAAACCTTTGCGTTCTCTTCTCGCGACCTTGGACAGTGCTTCTATAGGAGAGTATCTTCTATAACATCCACCAGTATCACCCAGTTTCTCTTTTAGTCAGCAGATAACTGACAGATGAGGTTTAGTGTCATTTTCTAAGCAGTTCTTCATTTAGAATTGGTAAATCTTTCCTTCACAGGTTTAATTTAACTCAGGGTTCAATGTAGATAAAAAGAGGAAAGGAAATATTAGATCGCGAAAGGGATGGTCTCGACTCCCAAGATACTGCTTTAATTGAACCCTGATTTAACTTCTTGTGCTCTTGGACTTTGAACCTTGTCTGTATGAGTAGAAATGCTGATAATATGCATCTATTGTCCTGTACTCTTCATGTCAGGCTTTAAAAATTATTCATAAAAAGCTATAAAATTTCATACCTATCAAGTTTTCAACAAGGAAGCAGATAACCTTAGCCAAAATCCAGAAGGCAGCAATAAATAACAAGGCAGTTATTACTTAGGCTGTTGTTTTAATTGAACATTGATCTTTGTACAGCATGATACATTGTGTGATATTGTAACACACTGGTTAAAGGTAACTTTGACATTGGATATTCGATTGTGGCATAAAGCAGGGATCCCAGGAATTCCTCTATTTATCTAGCCAGTGGTATTTTTTTTATTTTCAAATAAAACCATTTAAAATTTAGTTTTAGGAATGAAAAAATTTCTGTATGGGAAATGACTTCCAAAGCATCTTAAAATGGTTAAATCTCCGCCTATACCTCACATTAGAGTCTGTGGTCCTGTTTACCTTCAGTTGATATTTTCTATTTTCTCTATTTTTTTCGTTCCTCACTGGGATCCCTGATAAAGGTGTACTGACATGTGCAGGGCGCAGTAAAACAGTAAAAGCAGATGTAGGAAGTTTCATCTTGGGGAAAGTGAGATGGTGGGGAGGTTAAAGGGAAAATCTAAAGTTGGAGCACCCAAATTGTGTAACAAAGAGAGAAGCCTAATCGGTCTGAAGAATTCAAACACAAACGAAACTAGTCACTGAACATCAGCATGATACATTATTGCACCAATCAATGCAATATAGTATTTGTATAACAGTAACCAAACAAAGAATGATAGCTGAGGTTGAAATGATATATTATTTTAATTAAGCAAGAGAAGATATGTGAGAAGTGTTGGTAACAGCTTGTTGAAATAATATCATTTCACATCATTGACTTTGGTATTTTAGTGATAAATGCACTGTGCAGACAAGAAAAGAAAAAAAACGTCAATAGGCAATTAGACTGTATTTTATCTGAATAATATTCATAATACAGTAATATTTTCACTGTTAAGAATAAAATAGTGCTCAATTCAACAATTGTAGAGCAATATAGAAATACCACTGCTAAAATAGTGCTCAATACATCAATTGTACAGCGATATAGAAATACCACTGTTAAAATAGTGCTCAATACATCAATTGTAGAACGATATAGAAATATCATTGTTAAAATAGTGCTTAATACATCAATTCTAGAGCGATATAGAAATACCACTGTTAAAATAGTGCTCAATACATCAATTGTAGAGCGATATAGAAATACCACTGTTAAAATAGTGTTCAATACATCAATTGTAGAGCAATATAGAAATATCATTGTTAAAATAGTGCTTAATACATCAATTCTAGAGCGATATAGAAATACCACTGTAAAGCTCTATCTGTAAAGAGTAAAACTCTATTTGTAAAGAGTAAAGCTCTATTTGTAAAGAGTAAAGCTCTATTTGTAAAGAGTAAAGCTCTATTTGTAAAGAGTAAAGCTCTATTTGTAAAGAGTAAAGCTCTATCTGTAGAGACTAAAACTCTATTTGTAAAGAGTAAAGTTCTATCTGTAAGGGGTATAGCTCTATCTGTAAAGAATAAAACTCTATTTGTAAAGAGTAAAGCTCTATTTGTAAAGAGTAAAGCTCTATTTGTAAAGAGTAAAGCTCTATTTGTAAAGAGTAAAGCTCTATTTGTAAAGAGTAAAGCTCTATTTGTAAAGAGTAAAGCTCTATTTGTAAAGAGTAAAGCTCTATCTGTAGAGACTAAAACTCTATTTGTAAAGAGTAAAGCTCTATCTGTAAGGGGTATAGCTCTATCTGTAAAGAATAAAACTCTATTTGTAAAGAGTAAAGCTCTATTTGTAAAGAGTAAAGCTCTATCTGTAAAGACTAAAACTCTATTTGTAAAGAGTAAAGCTCTATTTGTAAAGAGTAAAACTCTATCTGTAGAGACTAAAACTCTATTTGTAAAGAGTAAAGCTCTATCTGTAAAGAGTAAAACTCTATCTGTAAAAAGTAAAGCGCTATCTGTAAAGACTAAAACTCTATTTGTTAAGAGTAAAGCTCTATCTGTAAAGAGTAAAGCTCTATCTGTAAAGAGTAAAGTCCTATCTGTAAAGAGTAAAGCTCTGTCTGTAAAGAGTAAACAGAGTAAAGCTCTATCTGTAAAGAGTAAAGCTCTATGAGTAATAAATGTCAAGCCTGAATTTGACATATTAGTGTGCCCTTTAGCTTTGTCTAAATTACACTGGAAGATGTTATAATTTGTTGTTTCAATGGATGATGTAAAATACAGATAAATTGATGATATTTCCTGCTATGTTTGACTAGTTTCTTGTACTTACTGAGGTATTATATTGAAAACTTAACTTCATATAATTTTTGTGCACTAGTCATAACTCATATGATCTGTCAATCACTTTATTTTTTAATATCTAGGTTTTACCATACTTTTAGTTTTCAAGAATTTGGCCCCAGATAATAAAATCTGTGTGATCTGATTGGATTTCATCTTCACAATATCAAGCTATTATGAACAATGTTGGATTTATTTGCTAGCTTACAATCCAATCTAATCACTGTATTTAAAGATTTCAGTGATACAAAAAAAGTGTGTAATGATGGCAAGGTATAAGATATAGTACGTAATAGCTTGATATTGTGAATAATAACTTCTAATAAGTACACATTGTGACAAACAGCTGGGGTATTTGTGATCAAATCAATGTAATAACTAGACTATAATTGAAATTTGTCACTGCATGAAGTATTAGATAATTTATTTATTGTGGTTTTGATTATGTTTATTGGAAATATTCCAAACAATTTTATATAGAATCATGTGTAGACCCAAAATGAAAACAATATTTACTTGTTTAAGAATAAATTTTTTTTTTTGGATTTCGTGTGTGTCCCATTTTTTTTTTTTTATTATTGTATGGTTTTAGAAAGTTGATAATTTTGAGTTGAGAAGTTATTTTTGAATCAGTTATTTATACATTTTGAATATTGGGCATGCATGTTAAATTTTCTATTATGTTCGAAAAATTTAATTTTTTTTTATTAAACAGTGCACTCATGGCAAGGGTCTGGATAATGTTTCTATATAACTTTGTTTGTTTTATTTCCAGCCCCTCTTGGAACCTCTAAGACAGGTATGTAGGAACTAGTTCTAATCAATATTCTAGAGGTGGAAATCTGGTTTAGTTTGAACAATGAAAAACTTAATATTGCTGGTATCACACTTGGTTAAACAATAATTCATTTATCAACAGGGATACATACGATTTTTACAGACTATAACTAAAGTTTCGGAAACAGAGGCTTATGCGTTTGCGTCTAAAAGCTTATCTATATTCTGTAGAAATTATATGTATTATCACATTTAAAACTGTTTGAATCATGAAAAAACTAAAATTTTTGATATGTTGCACATCAATAAGAGTTGCAAATAAATATTTATTATATACCTTATAATATGAACTTACTTCAATTAAAACATACCTTTCAGACATAAAATCCTCATCAGGATAGCCAGTTTGGAAATGAAATACTTACTCTAACTTTATTTATGTTTTCTGTGTTCTGTTATTGAGAATTTGGACCTGTTTTTTTTATTTCTATAACATTTCTACTTTCAGTTTTCTGATGCTACAACATTAAGCTGGTCAACAAGAATCAAGGCATTTGCTGTTTGTTTTGTTTTGGGCGTAGGGCTATCTATATTGGTATGTTAAATTATTAGTCTCAGCTTTATTCAAGTACAAATGAACCCACTGTGGTTACAGTCATATGAATACATTGGTCAATGTGTTAAATTGAATGATCTGTAGAAAGCAATGATAAATTTGACACCTTGAACCAATGTGTTCACATTGTGGGCCACTGCATTATTTGAATTTGAATGTGTTTCATATCAAAAGGTTGAATTAGACAAATACATTGCAGATACAGATATAACTTAGTTTGTTTCAATGGATTCTAATAAGGTTTTCTAACCTTAAACTTTGTATGTGTATTAGGATAACTTATATCTACTGTTAACATCAATCCAATTTCTTGTCTGGTGTTTTTGGCTGCTTCCATTTCAGAGCACTTGACCATATTAAAAGACTGTTACCTTTTTTATACACTTTTAAGAATAATTTGTTTGTCCTATGATTAAGTCTTGGTATTGAGCAAGACTGTTTATTTTTAAAGCTGCCAGGGGAACCTTTTAACATGTAAATTAAGATCTTGTACCAATTTTTATTGAGACTTCATGAAAATCCAGAAAATGATTTTTTTTTACATAGAAATATGTCCTAAAGATACAAATTGCAGTCTGTCATTTTGAAGTTTCCAATCAGATATGACTGGCAAATACAAATCAACAGTCTTGGTATTTAGATCAGTGTTAGTATTAGTCTTGTTTATATTGCAGGGAAGTTGTTTAATGTTTGCCCCCAATGGTTTAGTATTATTTGGTGTTTTATATACTCTGGGAAATGTTCTTTCTTTAATGAGGTAAGAATTATTAATTTAATGTTATTTGTTTCTGGTCTTGATACATAGGGTGCGCTCGATTGGGGAGTTCTGATTTTTAGGGATACATGAAAACAACTGGACATTCAATAAAACAATCTGGAACAGGGTTCAGAACGCGTTACACTTGTGCTGAATGACAAGGATGTGTAGACAGAATTCAAAATGGCGGAGAAATGAGGGAGAAATGAGTAGAAGGGAAAACTTTGAATGTAACATATCTGGTTCTATACTGTTCAATCGATGTTACTTTCAAATGTCTTTATTTCATTGTGCAATGCTTCTTGCATATAGAAAATACAACAAAATGCTGAACAAAGCAGATTGGTGCATTCTGGGAAAAATTTTCTTCATTACCCAGTTAAGCGCCTAGTATTGAACAGAAAACATCAGGTCAATGTCTGTTTCCCTTTGTTTTCCTTATTCAAGTTTCAATGAAGAATTAGAATTAGTTAGAAATTGGTAAGAACATTCATGAAAATAAGATGCATATTCTTACTAAACAAACCATTGTTTTATTTCAGTACATGTTTTTTAATGGGACCTTTAAGTCAGTTGAAGAAAATGTTTGCCAAAACAAGAATTATAGCTACAATATTAGTCGTGGTAAGTTCTATCTTTTCTTTATTTGATATTCATTTGGTATGAATTATTTAAGGATTATATGCTGTGCTGGTTCAAACTTAAAGAGACATATTCACCATTCGTTTTACGAATTGTACCATTGTTTCAGAAACGCTTTTTTATTTTAGCTCAGATACTGTTCACAGCTCATTGTCATAATTTGAGCCTTCAAATCCATGTTTGTCCAGAATTATTTGCTTATGAAAATTCAAATGATGACTCTTTTCTTGAGGCTATGTCATAGATTAAAAACATATTTAAAAGTAGAATGTGAAATTTCTAGTTTGAGGTATTTTTGAAGGGACTAAAAGAATATTTATAACCCCTGAAAATAGTGAACTACAGCCTTTAGGTTCAGATTTTGATGTCCTTTTGTGGATGAAATGATTTTTTTTTCTAATTTCAGATTATGTTTGTTTTAACATTAGTTTGTGCATTTGCTGTAAGTATCTATTTATAGTACTTGATATCGGACATGTTTAGTGTATAGTTTTTGTATTTTATGTTTGGCATTGAGCTTTTAAAGATATGGACTCTTTTGATTTGTGTATTTTACAGCAATTCTGATTTATTTTTATTTGCCTGCTTTCTCTTTCTTTCACTTCATCTGTCTGTATATAATCTACTATCAGTATAACAGTATTCTAGACACAGTCTGCTACTGTTACTGAATCACAGAATCACAATGTCAAGCTATTACAAACTTTGTACTTATACCTTGAATCCAATAGCCACTCTTCTTGTATGACAGAATGCAATTTGATTGGATTGTGTGCTAGAGAATACATCCAATCGGAGCTCACAACATAAATATCTGGTACTGTAAACATTATGTCTTACAGACTTACTGCAGTCAAGGTATTAGTGGTAGTTCGTATTAGCTTGAAATTGTGAAGATGCTGTAAATGTTTTTGTACATAATATCAGTAATTTTTATTCTATTTGTATTTTCCAGTTAAAAAATCCAGCCTTAACTATAGTATGCTGTGTATTACAGTTTGTAGCTTTGACATGGTATTCCATATCATATATACCTTTTGCCAGGTAAGAACTGTTTTTGGATTGAATTTTTGAAAATTGGACGATTTTAAACAATATACATGCAAGGATGAAAGGTGGAATACTCTCTTTATTGTCATTAATAAAAAGTTAAGCATTGATATAAAAACCAAAAGAAGTGTATGACTAAAGGTTAAACATTTCATATTGATGATTTCATACTATCAAATATTGTAATTTAAAATCAAAGCTGCCAGTGGGTGTATATTACCTCGTTTGGCAAGCTATCTTCGTATCAGGAATGTGTATTGGATCAAAATCACTTTTTCTATTTCAGAGATGCTGTAAAGAAATGTTTTGGATCTTGTCTTGATATGGACTGAACATTTTGATACTTAAATCATTATTGTCATCATAAAGTGGTGGGATTTTCATATAAATCATGCAATGCATGTGCATTCAGCTTGTTCAATGATAATCAAATATCAGAATCATATTTCTTGAAAGTGACTTGCTCATTCAAGCTTGATTTTTAGTTCATCTCAAGCTTTGTTACTTTTATATGGAAAAAGTTCAGATTCAGCTTATCCTGTATTTTCAGCTTTCCAAAAACTAAGCTCAAAAATATATATTTTTTTTTGGTTCATGCAAGATATTTTTATGATGCCACAAAACAAATCCTGTCGTTTTTTGACATGATTAATCCTGCATTGAAAGTCTATCTGATCTTCTTGAAAAGTTTTGGGAAAGTTGAAAATGAGCCCTACTATCTATATGCTTAGAGAAGAAGTCTTGGAACAATATATATTTTGTATAATTATTCTTATAATACTTCATTCTCATTTTTCGCTTTTCATTTCTTCATGAATTAATTTATAAAAGGTGAAATTCATAGGGTTTCTTGTGTCCCTATGCCACCCATATTTTCCCAGTGTTTCTTATAACCAAATTTATAGAGTAAAGGTTGTTGCGAATGACAAGTAATGAAAGCACAGGTCTGATAAGTGTCAAGTTATTTTATTTGAATAAACAAAGGGGAATAATCAGTTGAGAAGAATAAGGCATCAAGGCTGTAATGATTTCATTCCATATTTATACCTTCTTTTCCTGAAGTTTAGCATCTGACCCTAAAGCCTCTTTGGAGTTATGCTCGATCAAACGCACAAGTTATTTGGTTATTTTTCTACTGTGCCTTAGAAATATATACCTCAGATGGTGGCATTGGACTCTTAATCTTTCTTGACAATTTATAACTTCATTTCCACGAAGTATGGTTCAGAAAAATCGCATTTTTATTTCATATCTTATTTCATTACCAAAACCAGCATAAACTTGTGACAATATTATGGTCATCTTGCATCACAATACCTTTTCAATTGCTTTGTTCCTACCTCTTACATGAGACAAGAAACCCTATATATTCATCTGTATTTTGTTATATATATATATTCTGTATAAATATTGTATATTTTGTCTATTGTTATACAATCACAATGTTGCCTTGTACAGAAAATGTCTGCAGTTTTGTGGTAAAGTGTTTAAAGCCTAAAAAATGGGCTTAAAACTGCATTTCTCAGAAATGTGTGAAGGTCAAATTTTGTGAAAGTATCATTAAATAAATCAATTCAAATTTTAATGATGTAAAATATTATTACTTTTGACGAAGTGGGATTGGACGACGCATGAATGAGGTCTATGGCCACCTATTTGTATCATGGAATTCAGCGATTTGTTTGGATTGTATGCTGGTGAATACAGCCAATCAGAGCACTTCACATAAAGACTCTAAATATTTTGGTTATTGTTTACAGACTTTCTGTTGAGGCCTGTATCATAAAAAGACCCTGTCAAAACCTGTATTAGCTGTATAGAAAGGTGGCTATTGCAGTCAATGTATAAGATGAAGTTCAGAATAGCTTGACTTTGTGAAGATGATCAGTCATAAGTATAATGTGTTTTGGGCTGTATTTTATAATGTAATCGAGAGGAATATGATTGTCTATATTTTGTCCATTTTTATATTGTTGGGATTGGGGTAAACAGTTAAGAAATATTTTTAATTATATCACAAATTCCCAAAAAGGGGAAACCAATTAAAACTATGTTATTGTCCTGTTATTTGACGTTTCGTTTCGGCTTACTGCCTTCTTCAGAAGGTGTTTATATTTTTAATCTTAGCCATATTTCATAATTATGAAAATTGATAAAAAAAGAAGCGCAATTCCTTTGCAAGCAGTTTTAGTAATAATAAGCTTTTATGTTGCCAATTAATATTTTTTCTACCTATTTTATGAAATAAATGGCCCCTATTGTTTGAAAGCGAAATTCCACTAAAATCATACCTGAAAGCATTCATTGATTTATCTTTTATTTTCATCCTCATGTCAATAATAATGTTATATTTGTTGAAATAAATCTTGTATAAAAAGTTTCTGGTTTTTGGAGAGTCAATTCATCCTATATATATTTTTGTTTATATAAAAAAAAATACAACTGATAGAGCAGTTGTTTTGAAGCGTGCAACTACAGTTTATTATGTAGTTTGAATTTAGGTTGAGGATATGTTTGGGATTTCACCGATTGTTCTCTTACTTATCTATTTCCACATAGAAAGTCCTGCCTACTGGTCGGCGCCATTTGAACGGAACAGTCTTGTAGCCATGATTTGTGCCCTGTTACAATGTGCTAAACGCGATGGCCTGTTCGAGCCTTAAAAAATCTAAAAGAAATTACCCTACTTTCACCTCCAAAATCGCGTACTATTCTCCGGCTTGCAAGATTAGAAAATCTTGCTGAACCCCTCACCTCCCACCATGAATACCCACCCCTTTAACATCCGTAAAGGGACGCCGAGGCGTAATGAATTCAAAGTGCGGCAAGTTAACTCTGTGAAACCGTTATAAACGCTAGCATCTCATTGTGCGTTTGAGACGACCCCCCTTTCCTTTCAAGGAATTTCTTGAAAAAAAGAATTGATTAAGAGTATTCTGACATATATTTTGGGGCAGAAAAACGTATTAAAATCAGTATTTGGTACCCAGGCGATCTCTGACATGTCTGCTAATAGTATAGCAGGTCACCAAGGTCAAATAGTCTTCATAAGTTCATTTTTATATTTAGTAGGTCTACGTTATTCACAAGACTTATGTAATTATTCTGCTTGATTTTTATTTGGTGCACTAGGTCCAGCTTATAAAAGGTACATGTTTTGACAATGGTGGATATATATTTTTTTTAAAGCTATCATGGAATAACAAATAGATTCTGCAATTACTGTCATACATGGCATCACTGTTGATTCACACCTGAATGGGTCCCCAGTTCTAGAACAAGTCGACAGTAAACCGATTTAGGTTGTTCTTTTGGATTGTTTTAATGTCAATGTCCAATGAGGAAAAAATTTTTATGATACATCTAACATTTACACATAACAAGCCCCATATTCACTTTACTGTTTGCCTTTTAATAACACGAAGTTGCTTATATCGTCAAGAATGACAAAGCGTGGCTGAATAACAGAGTCCTAGGTACACACTGATCGCTTACACTTCTACTATGTAGTAAAATTTTCAGGGTTAGGAAGGAGGCGGATTAAACGAATTTTCCTTAAAATGATCAGAACCTAACGCTGTCAGTCAGCGTTAGTCAGACTGGAGCTGACTAATGGTCCCTTCTGTCATTGCTTGTTCAGATTTTATCGCGGTGATGAATCTGAAGATGTTAGGATGGTTGGTGCTCATTTTGTTCCTTATTGCGTGCCACCCCTCAACATGATTCGTGGTTTTACAGTGTGAAAATGGTTCCACATAATGTGTACTCCTTCAACCCACTGTTCGGTTACATAGTCAGCAAACTTTGCAATTGAGGGATCTTCCATGTTAGCAGCTTCAAGGGTATTGAACTAGTAATCTTCGATATGTTCAGGTCTGGGTAGAGGTAAAGCAGAAGTTCTCCCCACGAATAGGTTCACATCTGGGTTGTTTGCAAAGGCACTACTATGCAAACCACACTTTTGGACATTGCTCCAAATAGTGAAAGAGGCATCCCTTCAAATTACAGTCAAAAACATGTTCTACGAGATTCTCGCTAAATCATCATCATCGTTATTATAGGACAACATACAAACAATCAAACAACATTTGATTATTGTCCAGGTAGGCACAAGTTTTTTTTTTATTGTCCAGAGGACTATGCTTCGAGTCACTTCACGTTAGCTTTAATAATAACAGTTACGGTTTTATTTTCATCATTCAATGTCTAAACATTCATTATAGCGGCAATACAGCTGTAAGGTACGTTAGCCTTTTTGTTTTTAAATTTTATGACACATTATTAGAAACTTGCTGGCATCACACGCATCATGATCTAACTATTCCATATGAAGTCATGCAGTTCCTCTTCTGATGTCTTAGATCAGGGGTTGATTTCGGGGGTAATGAGGCGTTTTGGAGTCTAGCATAAAAATATTTTGGACAATTATAATTTTAGTCGTTCTATTCAGTCATCCCACATTCTCCAACATGTACAAGATAGTAGTAAGGATTATGATGGAAATGGTTAATAGTAAGGCTGTATAGGGGAATGGGTTAATAGTAAGGCTGTATAGGGGAATGGGTTAATAGTAAGTCTGTATGGGGGAAGGGGTTAATATTAAGGATTATGGGGGAAGGGGTTAATAGTAAGGATGTATGGTGGAATGGGTTAATAGTAAGGATGTATGGGGAAGGGTTAATAGTAAGTCTGTATGGGGGAAGGGGTTAATATTAAGGATTATGGTGGAATGGGTTAATAGTAAGGCTGTATAGGGGAATGGGTTAATAGTAAGGATTATGGTGGAAGGGGTTAATAGTAAGGATGTATGGGGGAAGGGGTTAATAGTAAGAATGTATGGGGGAAATGGTTAATAGTAAGGATGTATGGGGGAAGGGTTTAATAGTAAGGATTATGGTGGAAGGGGTTAATAGTAAGGCTGTATGGGGGAAGGGGTTAATAGTAAGGCTGTATGGCGGAAGGGGTTAATAGTAAGGATGTATGGGTAAGGGGTAATAGTAAGGCTGTATGGGGGAAGGGGTTAATAGTAAGGCTGTATGGGGGAAGGGGTTAATAGTAGGGCTGTATGTGGAAAGGGGTTAATAGTAAGGATGTATGGGTAAGGGGTAATAGTAAGGCTGTATGGGGGAAGGGGTTAATAGTAAGAATGTATGGGGGAAGGGGTTAATAGTAAGACTGTATGGGGGAAGGGGTAAATAGAAAGGCTGTATGGGGGAAGGGGTTAATAGTAAGAATGTATGGGGGAAGGGGTTAATAGTAAGGCTGTATGGGGGAAGGGGTTAATAGTATTGCACTTGATCAAGGATTCTGAAGAGGGTTATAGAAGGAAAATGATTGAAAACCCCTGCTTCAGATAATTCTAATTCTCTGCGCTAGTTTTTTTCTGGAGTGTGAAGACGTTTTGATTGTCAAGAATGCTATTAAGTGACCTTTTATAGGGTTATGTAGGGATGTTGTACCGTCACGGGGTCCTTACCACGATTCAGTGATTAAACCACATACCTTTACAACCCTAGAGTCATTAGTCCACAAACACTTACAAACTTAGAGTCATTATATCACAAACCATAACCATCCTAGGTCAAAAGGTTATACCCTTACCACCCCAGATCATTCGACCCTTACCACTCTTGAGTCATTAGACCAGATGCGCTTACCACTCTGAGTCATTAGACCACATGTAACCACCACTCTTGAGTCATTAGACCACATGTACCTACTACTCTTGAGTCATTAGACCACATACACCTACCACTCTTAGGTCATTAGACCACATACACTTACCACTCTTGTGTCATCAGACCACATTAACTTACCACCTAGAGTCATTCGACTACATATCCTTATCACGCTAGGTCATTAGACCACATACCCTTACCACCCTAGAGTCATTCGACTACATATCCTTATCACGCTAGGTCATTAGACCACATACCCTTACAACCCTAAGTTTTTACACTACATAATTATCATCTTAGAATCACTAAACCACAAACCCTTACCACCCTAGGTCACAGGGTCACATACCCTGAACACTGTTGGTCATTATATCACAAACTAAAAAGTCATTACACCACAAACCCTAACCACCTGGAGTCATTAGATCATAAAACCTTACCACCATAGGTCAAAAGGTCACATACCCTTACCACCCTAGATTGAAAGGTCACATACTCTTACCATAATCGTTCATTAAATCACATACCCTTACCACCCTAGATCAAAAGGTCACATACCCTTACCACCCTAGGTTAAAAGGTCACATACCCTTACCATAATCGGTCATTAGATCACAAATCTTTACCACTCTTGAGTTGTTAGACCACATACCTTTACCACCCAGAGACACTTACCACCCTAGAGTCATTAGATAACAAACCCTTACCACCCTAGAGTCATTAGACTACATATCCTTATCACGCTAGGTCAAAAGGACACGTATATTGAACACCCTTTGTAATTAGATCACAAACCCTTACCACCCATGACTCGTTAGACCACATACCCTTACTACGCTAGAATCATAACACCAGACATCCTTACCACCCAGTTTAAAAGGTCACATACTCTAACCTACCTAAAGCCATTAGATCACATACCCTTACCACCTAGGTCAAAAGGTCACGTATATCGAACACTTTTGTCATTAGATCCCAAACCCTTACCACCCTAGAGTCATTAGACCACAAACCCTTACCACCTAGGTCAAAAGGTCACGTATATCGAACACCTTTGTCATCAGATCACAAACCCGTACCACCCTTGAGTCGCTAGACCACATACCCTTACTACCCTAGGTCAAAAGGGCATGTACATTAGACCACATACCCTTACCTCCCTTGAGTCGTTAGGCCACAAACCCTTACCACCCTTGAGTCGTAAGACCACATACCCTTACCAAGGCTAGAATCATAACACCAGGCACCGTTACCACCCTAGTTTAAAAGACCACATACCCTAACCACCTCACTAACTATTACCACCCCAGTTCAAAATGTCACATACCTTTACCACATCTAAAACGTTTACAACCTTAGAAACATAAGACCACATCATACCCTTACCACCCTAGGTCAAATGGTCAAATACCCTTTCCGTCTAGGTCATTAGATCACATACCTTACCACCCTACGTTATGAAATCAGATCTTACCACCTTAGATCCAATAGGACACCTCGGCCCCACGGGGAGGGGGTGTGGGTTTCTATGGAACATGGTAATGACTTGATTCTAGAACTATGAAACATGGCAATGACTTGATTCTCGAACTATGAAACATGGCAATGGGTTGATTCTCGAACTATGAAACATGGCAATGGCTTGATTCTCGCAGTATGAAACATGGTAATGACCTGCTTGTAGAACTATGAAACATGGTAATGACTTGATTCTCGAACTATGAAACATGGCAATGGCTTGATTCTCGAACTATGAACCATGGTAATGGCTTGATTCTCGAACTATGAAACAAGGTAATGACTTGATTCTCGAAACATGGCAATGACCTGCTTGTAGAACTGTGAAACATGGTAATGACTTGATTCTCGAACTATGAAACATGGTAATGACTTGATTCTCGAAGTATGAAACATGGCAATGACTTGATTCTCGAAGTATGAAACATGGCAATGACTTGATTCTCGAACTATGAAACAAGCTAAAGACTTGATTCTCGAACTATGAAACATGGCAATGGCTTGATTCTCGAACTATGAAACATGGTAATGACCTGCTTGTAGAACTATGAAACATTGCAATGACTTGATTCTCGAACTATGAAACATGGTAATGACTTGATTCTCGAACTATGAAACATGGTAATGACTTGATTCTCGAACTATGAAACATGGTAAGGACTTGATTCTCGAACTATGAAACAAGGTAATGACTTGATTCTCGAAGTATGAAACATGGCAATGACCTGCTTCTCGAACTATGAAACATGGCAATGACTTGATTTTCGAACTACGAAACATGGCAGTGACTTGATTCTCGAACTATGAAACATGGCAATGGCTTGATTCTCGAAGTATGAAACATGGCAATGACTTGATTCTCGAACTACGAAACATGATAGTGACTTGATTCTCGAACTATGAAACATGGCAATGACTTGATTCTCGAAGTATGAAACATGGTAATGACTTGATTCTCGAACTATGAAACATGGTAATGGCTTGATTCTCGAAGTATGAAACATGGTAATGACTTGATTCTTGAAGTATGAAACATGGTAATGACTTGATTCTTGAAGTATGAAACATGGTAATGACTTGATTCTTGAAGTATGAAACATGGTAATGACTTGATTCTTGAACTATGAAACATGGTAATGACTTGATTCTTGAACTATGAAACATGGTAATGACTTGATTCTTGAACTATGAAACATGGCAATGACCTGATTCTTGAAGTATGAAACATGGTAATGACTTGATTCTCGAACTATGAAACATGGTAATGAGCTGATTTCTGAACTATGAAACATGGCAATGACTTGATTCTCGAACTATGAAACATGGTAATGGCTTGATTCTTGAAGTATGAAACATGGTAATGAGCTGATTTCTGAACTATGAAACATGGTAATGGCTTGATTCTCGAACTATGAAACATGGTAATGACTTGATTCTTGAAGTATGAAACATGGTAATGACTTGATTCTCGAAGTATGAAACATGGTAATGACTTGATTCTCGAAGTATGAAACAAGGCAATGACTTGATTCTCGAACTATGAAACATGGTAATGACTTGATTCTCGAACTATGAAACATGGTAATGACTTGATTCTTGAAGTATGAAACATGGTAATGACTTGATTCTTGAAGTATGAAACATGGTAATGACTTGATTCTCGAACTATGAAACATGGTAATGACTTGATTCTTGAACTATGAAGCATGGCAATGACCTGACTCTCGAAGTATGAAGCATGGCAATGACTTGATTCTCGAACTATGAAACATGGCAATGGCTTGATTCTCGAACTATGAAACATGGCATTGACCTGACTCTCGAAGTATGAAACAAGGCAATGACTTGATTCTCGAAGTATGAAACAAGGCAATGACTTGATTCTCGAACTATGAAACATGGCAATGAGCTGATTTCTGAACTACGAAACATGGCAATGACTTGATTCTCGAAGTATGAAACATGGCAATGGCCTAACTCTCGAACTATGGAAATTGGCAATGATTCGATTCCAGAACTTTTCAACATGTACCCATATACAAAACACTAAAAATCTTTATCATTCATTCGTTCGTTCGATCGTTCATGTATTTATTCATTCTGTAAATTTCAGGTTAGCCCTAGTCATGACGATGCTGTATGACGATGTGTTACAGATAATAGGCGAATTTGGATTGTATCAGAAAAGGATTTTTGCCATATTATGTTACCAACCCTTTACCTCGGGACTATTAGTGTTAATTTCCACCTTTACTCTTAGTACCCCTGATCACAGGTAAATACATAAACGGAATTAATAATATCAACATGATGGACTCGAAATGAGGTGCAGATAAATCATGTAGCCTTTATCGCCATGGTCCATTGTTCTCTACTTTCGGGGTTGATTTTGGTCTATAATATGTAAATAATTTTCAGATATAGCCTTCTAGAACTACACGAAACGTCGCCAATTTAATTCACTTTCAATTCTTGACACACATTAATTGACTTGGAAGCTCAGATTTCGACGTTGAGCTGTGAAATCTATTACTGATTAGTTACGCCAGGCTAACCTCAGGTATTTCAAATTCGGACAAAATCATCTCGCGGGCCGTAGGTTGCACAGGCCTGAGCTAAGCTCAAACGGACGATCCATCGCCCATTCCTGGATTATTTCCTCGTGCATTTCAGTAAAAATGCCTATTCTGCTATTACTCTGTTTTCAGATGTGCAATACCAAGTTTAGAAAACGACACTTTTCACCCACAGAATGATCATCATAGAGATCTTATCAACCAATCAATTCCTCAGAATTCAAAATGTTTATTACGTAATCAATCTGCAGACGAACTTGGAAATATGACGTCATCGGAATATAAGTGTTCTTCTTGGGTTTATGATACTTCAACTTTTACAAACACTCTCGTAACAGAGGTACGTCATTTGAAATTTGTTTAACCCTTTATAGAATGAATAATTTATATTATATTTAAAGGGACAGAATCGCCTTTTGGTCTTGAATATCTGTAAATAGTCTTCAGAAGTACTAGAAATGTTCAAAAATCGCATAATTTCTTCAGAAATACGTTAAAGTAGGAATTTCTATATCTATATGCAGCAGATTCTCAAGTTCTGAACACACATAGATTTGAAGGTTCAAATTTTGACTGTGATCTGTGAACACTATTACTGATTAGCTTAGCTAAATAATTCCCGTTTCTGAGATGAAGGAACGAATGGTCAGTCGGATGACGAATCTGTGCCTTAATAGCGGAATCTGGAATTATTATTAATATGGTATCTATTTCAGTTTAACCTGGTTTGTGACGATGCATCACTGAAGAGTACGGCTGTTATGACATTGTTTCTAGGGTTACTGATTGGATATGGTACAGGAAATATTGCTGATTAGTAGGTGTACTAATTCAAATTTTGGGAAAGTTTGACAAAATACAAAAGAGTTTTTTATTTGTGTGTGTGTGTGTAGGCCTTCGGGACACTTCCTGGGTTGCTTCTACTTGTAGCCTACTATTCTGATTTCCTGTGGTTTTTTTGTGGTTTCCATTATTTGAAAAAATACATTCAGAGCATTCCAGTCCATTCAGAGCATTCCATTCCATTCAGAGCATTCTGACCCTTTCAGAGATCGCTCTATGTTCATCATCTCATCCTTTATACCTGACATGGGATATTTCAATTTTACAGTGTTGGGCGGAAACCAATGATGGTACTAGGCAACGTTTTAGTTTGTATCTCGTCCTACCTACTGGTATGGTCACCGACTTACACGTTCGTCTCGGTTGTGAGATTTTTCCTGGGATTTGGTGTGGCTCTTCAGACTCTACCTATTTATAATATTGGTGAGGAAAGTCAATGATTTAAATTTAAATTAAAGAATTTGATATTTTCTTACAAATTTCAAGAGGTTTATTTTATTCTTCTCTTAACAAATATCTAGACAACAACATTACTTTAAGTAATGTTTTGACTACAGCAGTCGAGCAGAGATAGACCTTATTATGGACATCCAGTAACATTAATTTGGCAATCCTCGGCAGCTTAAAGCTGAACCTGTCTCAGTAATGTATGGTAGATTTCGTTGTGTTTTCATGGGCGAGACTTTTTACTTCCGCCATTTTACAATATTATATAATATTTCGATCTGAATATAGTTCCTAGGTTTAAAGCCTTGATGAACTTAAATTAGAGAGTATCCTCTGTTCATCAATAATCAATTTCCAGACAACATTACCAATGCACGACTTTGCCCGAAACAAAGTTTTGAAAAATGGCAAATAATTTTGGTTAGATCATTCATTAATCCATTCAGGTGCAGTAACGGTGGACTCACAATTCCATTTTTATTAATTTTATTAATTTTTTTGTTTGTTTTTGTACACAAGGATTGGAAATAGTAGGACCATCAAAACGAATTTATACCGGAATTTTATCCAACTTTACCTGGTTACTGGGAATATTTATAATATCGTTGCTTGGTTACCTGATTCGAACATGGAGATATCTACACCTAGGTGCCGCCATCTTCACGACGGTTTTGTTAACATTCGTCTGGTGAGTATCTATGATTTTATGAATTAAACTTATATTATTTATTTTCAATGTCGGTGATTTGTGAATGTTCTCTTCTACATAATATTCTGGCAACTTATCAACATTTAAAGAGACCTAATAATACCAGAGAGTCCACACAGCTAATAAAGTTATTTTATGTTTAAATACAGTATAATACCAGAGAGTCCACACAGCTAATAATGTTATTTTATGTTTAAATACAGTATAATACCAGAGAGTCCACACAGCTAATAATGTTATTTTATGTTTAAATAAAGTATAATACCAGAGAGTCCACACAGCTAATAATGTTATTTTATGTTTAAATACAGTTTAATACCAGAAAGTCCACACGGCTAATAATGTTATTTTATGTTTAAATACAGTATAATACCAGAGAGTCCACACAGTTAATAATGTTATTTTATGTTTAAATACAGTTTAATACCAGAAAGTCCACACGGCTAATAATGTTATTTTATGTTTAAATACAGTATAATACCAGAGAGTCCACACAGCTAATAATGTTATTTTATGTTTAAATACAGTTTAATACCAGAGAGTCCACACAGCTAATAATAATGTTATTTATGTTTAAATACAGTATAATACCAGAGAGTCCACACAGTTAATAATGTTATTTTATGTTTAAATACAGTTTAATACCAGAAAGTCCACACGGCTAATAATGTTATTTTATGTTTAAATACAGTATAATACCAGAGAGTCCACACAGCTAATAATGTTATTTTATGTTTAAATACAGTATATTACCAGAGAGTCCACACAGCTAATAATGTTATTTTATGTTTAAATACAGTATAATACCAGAGAGTCCACACAGTTAATAATGTTATTTTATGTTTAAATACAGTATAATACCAGAGAGTTCACACAGCTAATAATGTTATTTTATGTTTAAATACAGTATAATACCAGAGAGTCCACACGGCTAATAATGTTATTTCGTCTTTAAATACAGTATATTACCAGAGAGTTCACACAGCTAATAATGTTATTTTATGTTTAAATACAGTTTAATACCAGAGAGTCCACACAGCTAATAATGTTATTTTATGTTTAAATACAGTATAATACCGGAGAGTCCACACAGCTAATAATGTTATTTTATGTTTAAATACAGTATAAATACCAGA